TCTCAGTTCAGTCAAGACAAAAACGACCAGGAAATACACCTGTTAAACAATCAGATTTGGCTGCAGTGGTTGGACATGCTGACCAAAGAACACTGACCAGGAAATACACCTGTTAAACAATCAGATTTGGCTGCAGTGGTTGGACATGCTGACCAAAGAACACTGACCAGGAAATACACCTGTTAAACAATCAGATTTGGCTGCAGTGGTTGGACATGCCGACCAAAGAACACTGCAGGAGCAAACAAAAACCAGTGCTGGCCACAGTTCTGTTAATCACAAAGCTTGCCACAGCTCTCTTAACCCTTATATTTATATAAATCCTTGCATATATATAAATATACACACATGTTTACACACAATATACACACACATATATAAATATACACACAATATAGTACATATATAACTGTTTCATAGCCCTAATGCACTCAGTTCTGTTTCCCTCCTAGCAGTACTTTAACAAAGGACTTCTAATTTCCTTTACATTTTCATTTACTTCAATGGATTATAGTAAGAAACATTTAACCAATTTTAATGCTGATAGAGCCTCTATTTGCAGAATATTGTTATACTGCCTACATTTCACAATCCTTTAATAAATCCTCATTCATTAAAAATTTCAATGTAAATCACATTAAAATTATGATTTGAGACAAAACAGTCCAAAGGCTCACCTCCTGATTAATAAAATGATTGAGAACTTATGCCAAATATATATGTGAGTACAGATTAATGATTGTAGACAGAAAGAAGTTAACTTCATTTTTTCCATATATATTCCTACAAAGTAGTTAAATGGAGAAGCTGAGTATGAACCCTGTACAAATTATTTATGTTCATATGCAGCCTGAATAGACTGGAAAAGAAAAAGAAAACCATGAAAAAGCAATCACTCACTTCATCTTCAGAAATGAAATATCTCATTTCTCAGTAAGAAAAATGTCATAGAGAATAAATAATATTAGTAGTCGATCTTATTTCAGAGAGTTAATGAAGTCTATTACTCATAAATTTTTAAGTCTTTCTTCAGGGCTCCTCTTGCTCTGTTCTGTATCTGTGAATTGTATTTAAATAACTTCAAAAATGACACCCTAAAAATCATGTTTTTACATTCTTCTCATATCTCTCCATATTTCTTCCTTTCTCTCTTAAAGAAAACGTTTGCCAAGGAAGATGGGAACGTTCCTGGAACAGAAAGAAGATCCCTCCCTCCAAATTATTATAACTTTGAAATTAAGAGGCGTTCAGGCAATACGTGATTTTCCACTTTAAAATAATTTCCACAAACATATGAAGGGAAGCTAAACCCTAATGTGAGAACAAAAGAGCCAAAGCTCTCCAACTTTACCAAAGACTGACAAAGTGAGAGGGGTCTGGTACCTCTTTTGGTAAATTGGTACATTTAAGTCAAAGCTCTCTCTTTGAAAGATCAGGAATCTCTAATGGCAACCCAGGTCACTCTTCACAATCTGCTTGGGATGACTTTGCAGATACAATCACTAAGACCTGCCAGACCCTTCTGAAAAAGAGAAATTAAGACTAAAAATCTCTGCTTCATTTACTTGAGTGCAATGTGATATGTAGTTCACTTTCATGTACTCGGTATTGCCAAGAATTGTGTATAATCTGTTTTTCCATTTAGCATGTCAATGTGACAAGAGCATAGGAATGTTACTGATCAAATTGCACTTACCTCTTGAAGCTGGAGAAATTTTCCTTCCATAGCTGAAAGAGCATTGCTTTTCTCAGCCAGCTGTTTACGGACCTTGATCATTTCCACGTTGTCCTGAATGTTCAGCCTTCAAAATTAAAAAGAAATGCATCATGAGAACACCTATGGAAGAGGATTTCGTGTGTAATACCCAAATTAATTTCTCCTTCTGTAAACCATACTACAGAATTTAGGGAGATAAACATTCTGCTGCATGATGACACAGCAACTTCAATCAATACATCTACATCTTTGCTTGTTGTATAGAACTGTACAGGACAGGAAGAGAAAAAAATCCTATACCTAAAGAGATTGTTTGTTTTCCATTCACTTCTTTCCCACCATCCAAAGTATTTGGTGCCAGTAGAATATCATTTTGTATTCACAGTTTCCACCTATCAAACACTGTTAAGAAAATAAGCCTTAGCAATTTATACTGGAACACCTCAAGGCTGGTACTCAAACAACCTGTAGGTGTGTCTTAACTACATGAAAATCACTTAATATCCATGTTCTTACAATTCTAAGATTAATTTGAGAATGTACTGTTTAACAGAAAGGATGTTTAAAATAATTCCAAGTTTTAAAAAATATTTAAGTGTTTTTCCTTACTTCAAAACAGTGCAACTAAACCCTGTTCTTTCCATGAGTATGGGAAGAGAAAATAACTGGTTTCATTCCTTTCATTTTTTCAGAAAGTTAAAAAAAAAATCTAAATATTTTTTGAATTCACTGTAGTCACAGCGTGAGGAATTATTTGTGATAACGACTTCTTTAACTTATTTAAGGTACATGAAGGAAATTCTGAGTAGGGGGACTTCCAGCTTTGTGAGTCATTTAATAGCCACCATTATGATGCTTTATTTCTGTAGGGCCACTGATGCACAACCACGTGCTCACACACAATAACGGGCACTTAAAGAACTGACCACATATTTCTCATCCACGTAGAACTGTCACTGAGATCAAATGAGTAAGGAATGCAGGGCTGTGCATTTAATCCTTAATACAATTAAAGAGAACAGTCTGAAACTGAAACAATGGGGGCAGATATATGCACAGTTAGGTATTTTTTTCAAAAGTGAAGGAGAAGAGAGAGAAAGAAAAGAGGTTAAACTAAGAGAGGCTTTATTGTGAAACCCATTTCACAAGTATGTCTGTTTGTTCCACTGCACAGCTGCATCATATGCCTTCAGAAATCTGCTAATCTACCTCTACAGTGTTGGAAATTACATAACTTTCCTAATTAGTGGTTTTAATTAACTTTTTAATTATTCGTTTTAATTAACCATAAGCAGTGTTATTAAATACAAGCAGTGTAATTTTTCACTTTAGCCAGCACATAGCAAAGGTGGGTTTTTTTTCCCCACAGACTGCTACTGTTAGAACAGCTTCAGAAAAATCACTGAAACTTTTCAGTTTTGCTAAACCAACCCTCAGATGCTTCAATGAACAAACCCTGGGGGAGAGAAGCACTGCTGAAAATTGGACACAAAGAATGCACAACTTATAGCCCTCTGAGGACGTGCTGAAGAAACCAGAAGAGAAAGAAGAAACTCACAAAGACAGTACCTGGAAAAACGATAATAAAAAGGATGACAATGGGGACTAATGAGCATGAGAAGCCAGAAACCAGTAACCATTAGAAGATAGAACACTAATTAGCAAAGAGAATAATATCATCTAGAACCAATGAATGTTAATTTCTTTGTCTGCTAAAAATGTATAAATACTGAAGAAGTTTTGAATGTGTGTGTGCATCTAGTTGGAGCCACCCCCTGCCCTCAGCACTGTGAATAAAGCAATGCCACTTTCTAACACTAAAAAATAGTGTTGGAGAGTTCAAGGTATCCTGATGCTTTCACCAACAGTAGATTCCAAATTCTTAATGAGTATTAGTGAACATTAAACTGCCCATATGAGCTTATACCTAAAATTTTATAAGAATTAATAGTGAAGGATTAAAATTTTGTGACTTGAACTTCAACTGAATCTGTGTCAGCTGGAAATGAATTCTCTAACATGGTAATTATGAACTTGTTTATTTATGAAAAACACGTTATAACTTCTTACTGTAACTATCTCCTTGCTTAGAAGTACCTTAGAAGTGACTTAGTTTCACTAAAGGGAAAAAATGGATAAAGCCCATATTCCTTTACAGTAATTTAGCAGTAATTTCCACAGCTGTGTATAAAGATTATGACATAGCTCCTCTAATGCTTCCACCATGGAACTCCCCAGTTTCCACAGTACCTTTGGCTTGCTGTGCCTTGCTCTTTCAGCCTCAGGAGAGAGTCTTCAATCTCCTTTTCTTTCCTCCTCAGCTGACTCACGAGGATCTCTCTGGCATGTTCGAGTTCCTCAATGTGTTTCCTCTGGGAGTCAATCACAGTCTCCCTGCAAGTTCAAACATCGTACATTCCAAAGGCAGGTAAGTATTTAAGGAAAGAAAAAACTTTAAATGAATACTCAACAGGGCTAAAACTTTTAAGTGTTCAGCAAAATTTGTATTTCTTAATCACAGGCATCACAACAGAGGCTTGAGAGTTTAAATTACTATGAAAACACAACACAAACTCTCAAAATAAATGTTTATGTGGACTGAACAATGTTTAGCAGAACCTGGCTGAAAACACTGTCCATGGTGTCTTCTACTCTATGTTAGAATTATCCTCCCTCTAATCTATCAGTACCAAGTGTTTTCTGAAGAGCAAACCCCCAGGACTAGCTATCAAAAGATTACCAGATCTTCCATGGATGGAGCAGTTAAAGTAATTTTTAAGCTTTTATTCTGAAATAGGTAAATTTACACCAAAAAAATAATCAAAAGATGTGTCTTAAACAGTGGGATTTATGCAGTAAATGCAATTTAGAAAATAACTGATGAAAACATTTCTGTGCAATGATTTCCTGTGATCCCAGTAAATATTTGTGTTTACACAACTCTGAGCACAATATATGACTGCACATTAATTCATATATTTCTATACTTAGCTTGCCCATTTATTGAAAATATAGCATTTACAGATGATGTCTTAAATCCAATTTAGCTAAATCATTATGAAAATAAGGAAACATGCTAAAATAGCTTTTGGAAAACCACATTTCAAAACCTATACTTTAGAGAAGAAAAATGTTCCAATCAGACCCCAGTATCTTTAAATTAGATGTTAACTACCTTTTCTCCAGCCTATATAACACCTATCTGCTCATGTAAACTCTGTATCAGGGATGTTATAAGGGTTTATCTTCAGTTAAAAGGTGCAGTTGGATTACAAACCAATCCTCCATGTTCCTTCTCAGAAAACATTTCTGCACTGTTATTGTTATCAGATCCAACCACTTCAGTTTATTTTCTGAAGTGAAAACTTCTGAAAAGATATATATTTTTTTCCTCTTCAAGAAAACCGTAGTTTTAAGAATAATAGTGACAAAAAATAAGTAATATGAAAATCATACAAATTTCTTATTTCAGCCCTTGAATCCTCAAGCAGACTCTGTCCATATTTTGGGAGCACAAGGTCAGATGATCTCACTTCTAAATTCTGAAGCCTCATTCCTGAAAACAAAGAAAAGATAAATTTTTGTCATGTTGCATGAAAAAGCATTTAACAAACCAGCAACCTCTATACAGTACAAACACTTGCAGCTTCTATTTTAGATGCCATAAAAAGTATTTTTACATCAAATTCACATGGAAAGAAACAGAGTATCTACAACACAGCTGCTGTAAAATTTGAACTATGGGTGATACAGCATAGTGTTAAGGGCTAAAAACATGTCCTGAGAGGTCTTTTTAGAAGATTTTACTTTCAAAGTCAGAAAGCAGAGATGGTGTCTTCTCAGAAGAACAGTATCAATATTACTAAACAGGAACATGGAATTGTGATTGGTTTTTGTCAGCATTTTCTTTGCAAAATCACAAGAGTCATTCACCCAGACAGGCAACTAAAGGGCCATTTTTAGTAGCAGTGCAAATAATTTTCTTGTGTTCTTTAGAAGAACCCTAAGCTCCTAGTGAAGAAGAAAAGTCAGAAACTAACTAAGGAACAATTGCAAAAGCAATGGTTTCTCCAAATTTTTCTGCTTCTCTTTTTCCAACAAGAAGAAATAAAGTTTTGAGGTGGGACCAAAGTATGCCTTACATTTCAAACACAGCATTAAGGCCATCCCTCAGTCCCCAACATGGAGTCATTTAGACTCAAGGTACAATGAGACCATCACTTCCCCAAACACCTGAAAAAAATTACCTACCTTGCATTTGTGTTAACTTGATCTAATTTGAATTTTGGTCTCTAAGTATTATTTTTAAGGTACTGGTAATTGTGATATACATATATGTGCCTGTATATATGCCTAGACTACATACATTTTTATTTACTTTTGTTCAAATCAAGGTATTTCTTGCACTCAATAAAGAAAGTGATGAGAAACCAGAGAGTATTTACTGAAAATCCATACCTGACTAGGACTTTTGGATGAGCTTTCCATGGTATTTTTAAATCAGCCAACCACAAAGCAGACACAGCAAGACACATTTATTTCTTTTTCCTGTCTCCTCACACCTCACAGAGCTAAACTTTCCTGAATTTTTCCAGGCGTTTTTTTTTATTTTGGGATTTTCTGATCTGCACTGAAGATGTGTTGAGGTTCAGACTCAGGAGCAGTCTGTGAGCTCCCCGGTTTTGAGAAACGTGGCTGGTACCTTTCCTGGCGTGCTCGGGCGTGCCAGAAGCCTCATTCCCCTTCCTGAGCCCGGAGTTGACACGAGACTGGACGTGGCTGTAGGGGCAGGGCCTGTGGCCCTGGAGCTGCAGCTGCTGCTTGGTCGAAATGAGTTTGTTGCGCAGGTTCTCGTTTTGTTTCTCCAGCTCACGAACTCTTTCTTGCAAGTGCTCGATCGTCTCCTCCAGCTCCAGGGCCTGGCCCAGCCTCCTGGGCCCACCCCCTGCCTGCTCGGATCTTCTTTTGTCGTTAACAAGCCGCATTAACTTGGTGGTCATTCTGGGGGAAAACAATCCAAAAAACAGGAAAAGGAACGTGAAAACTCAGCATAAAAAGTAAACGTGATCACTGTGAAGACTTCACAGTGATCCTGGATAATAAAGCCAGGTTTTGGTATAACTATTACTGGCTGTGAAGAACTCTCTGAAGGTAACTGAAAGCACTGTGCAGCCATGTGCTTTCCAGCTGTACTGGGTCTGGCTGAGCTGCAGTTCCTTTCCCCAGAGCAGCCCTCACAGTGCTGTGCTTTGCACTGGGAGCTAGAAAGGTGTTGATAACACTGTTTTGGCTCCTACTGAGCAGGGCTGGCACAGCACCAGCACTGTCACATCCTCCCCCACCAATCGAGGGCAAGATTCTGGAAGGGGACACAAGCAGGCCAGCTGACCCAAAGTGACCAAAGGGATATTCCAGACCGTGTAACATCAGCTCAGATATAAAAGCTGAGGAAAGGAGGAGGAAGTGGGGGCATTTGTTTTTTACACTGTTTGCCTTCTGGAGCAACCACTGTGCGTGCTGAATTCCCGCTCCCCGGGAAGTGGCTGGACACGGCTGCTGCTGGGAAGGGGAGAATAAACCTTGTTCTTTTCCTCTTTGCTTGTGGGTGCACAAACTTTGGCTCTGGCTTTAGTAAAGTGCCTCATCTCAACCCACAAGTAGTTTTCCATCTTATTCTCTCTCCCCTGTCTGGCTGGGAAGGGCAGTGACAGTGGCTTGGTGGGCACCTGGCATCAGGCAAAGGTCAACCCACTACAACTGACAAATAACAGTTTCCTAAGGCTTCTGATTTAAGGTTAGTAAAGGAAGGAAGCATATTTGCTCCACAGGCTGCTTAATTTTAACACATGATCTCCTATTAGAACCTCTGCATGCTGTTAAGTGAAGTTACAGACTTTGGATGTGATGGGGCAAACTATAAAAGCTACAATTCCACAAAACATTCAACTATTGAAAGAATGATAACATGCAAAGATAAAGATAAAGAATGATAATAATATTCAACATTCCAATGAGATATAATTTCCAGTATTTTAGGATTTAATTATATATTTCATTTCTAAAGTGGCTAAAATACATAAGTGGAGATATTTAAGGTACTCTGTAAAAAGAGACTTAATAGTTGCCATTACCATACTCAATTTTATTCTGGGTAAATATGACCAATGTGCTCCAGAGAAGGAACAGTGAGCTGAAGAATACAATTAGATACAGAGGGTATGGTTCCCATCTATCTTTAAAAGGACAAAAGGAGAAGGGTGGCTTTGATGAGACAGACAAGTTCAAGACTTCACAAAACTGGCCACATATCATCCAGACCTGTATCTAGTTTACAGGGAATCTGTTTTTGAAAGCCCAGAAAGAAAACTGAAAATAAGGACACACTTAATTTGTCTAAAGGGGCTTGTTAGATTTTTGGATACTTGTGGACAGAAGCTTCTACTTGAAAGAACAAAATTAAACCAAACACATCCGTAATAGGATGTCACAGAATGTTACTTGCCTGTAAGCAGGTTTTCTGTTTATTTGGTTTTTTTCAGTGTAATTCTACTAGAAATTCATTCCAAACTTCTAGTTACAAGGGTTTTGGCATGAGGGAAGCTAAGGAGGAAATTTAGCTTTAGATTTAGCTTTAGATTTTTCTCTGGGAATCTAGACAAACACTCTATACTTTTTATTTTCTGTGCCTTGCTATACCAATTTGGACATTATGTGTAATTTTACCTAAGTGGATATGGAGTGGTATGTCCCATGTTGCTGTGCACAGAAGCAGAGGAACAGCCATTTGTAAGGAAACAATTAATTTGCTCTATCATATCTAACAGAAAAGATGGAAATTATGTCATGCTGGTCTACTGGATCCTGGCTCACTGAACACTGAGCCATAAGGGAAGAACAGTCTGGACTTTAACAAAGTATGAAACAGTCTCATGTACAGAGGCAATATTTTCAGCTGCCCTTTGATGAATTTGTTGGCTTCTGGTGAGAAGCCTGATCACATGCAGCAAGACTTGATTAGCAATTAGCACGATGGGAACGCACAGGAAAAGTGGTTTGGGAGTAGTCAGCCCTCCTGCAACACAGTAATACCACAAACAGTTCTGCAGAGTCCAGATCAGCCTGATTAACACACAGATCTTAGCAACTAAGGTCAGTAATCAGCCTAAAGTTGCTTGTATATGTTTGGGCATACTGTGCTCCCCATGCTCCCTGGGACTTTTTCATTGGAGTTATCTATTATGCTGAATAAAGGAGAACTGATTATAAAAATATTGTGGTGCTAATTGAATGATAAAAGGCTAGATGCTAGTCAGCTTCTCCAAAAAACAAGACAGGGACAAAAAAAGGGGCAGAATCTCTCTGTATAGGTCATTTTGATTCTAGAATAAAACCCTTGATAAATCATTAGGCTTCTGTAGCCTCTTCTTCAATTCCCAGAACACCTGTTACATTTGTACTTTGCCAGCACAGCTGGGAACCCAAAGTGCCAACCCCAAAGTAGTAGGTAGCAGTGTACCTCTGCACATGGAGATCTAACAGGGTCCACTGCAAAAAGCATCTCACATACCCAGAGACAACCAGAAACCAACACAGAACTGGCTTCCAAGGCACGACTTTTACCCCGGCATTAGAAAGCGCTCCGAGAGAAACCAGCGTGACTTTCAGCACGCTGATCATGGTTTGAGGGGCAAAAAACAGTTTAAAACAAAAACACTAAACCCCCTACCTTTTAATCTTCTCCTCCTGTCTGTTTGCATGCTGTTTGAGCAGGAGGTGGTCGTCGCTTATCCGAAGAAATCTGTCCTCCAGTTCCTCCCGGCTGATCCGCGACACGGCCTGTCGAGCTTTCGCGTTCTGTGCAGTGGGTGGGTCTGCCCAAACCAAGGCAACTCGAAATTACCCTCAACACATTCAACAGCACGTAATTCAAACTCTACCTCACTCTGAAATACTGGGAAAAAAAAATCCGTGAAAGTTTTCAAGTCATTTGATATTTTACACTGCCATCGGTCTGATAATTTTTTCAGATTTATTGGCGTGTTAATCGCTTCCTTTTTCCTTCCTCTTAAGGACTAAAAAAAAAGAGTTCAAATGCTGCAGCAAACTAAACAAAACACCCCCCAAAAACCCAAGCCGAAAAATTTTAAAAAATTATCTACTAGACCATGCAAAGGTAACAATTTAGCAAGCAACCAAGTACGATCAAACGTACTACTGAAAAAATAAAATTAGGATTACAATGAAAATGCTTTCAAATCTGTTTCAAAGTCAACACAGTCTCTTGAAGCTTGAAAGGGTTAACTCCTAATTCTGAAAACAAGTCCCGTAGTTCTATTCTAACAGCAGCTGAGTAACATATAAGAATTGTGTGGTACTTTCGGTTCCAATTTTTTTTAAATGGATCTGGCCTTGACCTTAATTCAGCAGAAAAGTTCTCCTTCCTTTTGTAAGGATGAATGTTACAGCTCAAGGAGTTTTCCAGGTTTTAGCATCTCACAGCAGCTCCTCTCTTATAAACCAACTTAAACATAGACTAGGTCACAGCACCTTTCAGGATTTAACTGAGATTTTGAATGGTATTTGAACTTAATTTTGCAAGTGCGAACATCAAAAGCATCTTCAGAAAGAAACTAAAGCCACTGATCCAAGTCTGTAAGTGCAATAAGCAGCATCTGGCACCAACCTTGCAGTCCTTCAGTTCCAGCTGGAGTTTGAGCTGGATCTCTCCCAGCTGGGTCCCCCCCAGTTTCATCAGCTGACACAGGCATGGCTTATCCACCAGGAACAAACTCCGACTGAAACGATTCTCCAGCTGCAACTGAAACTGTGAGACCAGAGAGAACCACAATACATCATGTAAAACAATGACAGAAGCCATGACATTCACTGAAATAACAAACTCACACGTGGCTGGAAATGCTCCCATCTCAACTGGATTGTTCAGAGGACAATCTGAACTTTTAAGTTTCATGTTATGCTAACTTTAATCCATGTACAAAACACAGCTTTTTTGTTACACAATAGCTCCAACTGTAAATGTAGAATTATAATTGTTGTCTTCAGAAATCTTTGGGCTAAGGCCATATTTCCAAATAGATGGGGGAGGGGAACCTGTGGAGATGTCTTTTGGTTTTTTGTTTGGGGTTTGGAGGGGTTTTTTAACTATTTATGCATTTTAAGACAGGTCAAAGCTTAAGGCATCAACTGGTAGGTGACTAATGCCATCTTCCACATTTTCAGTGGGACTCTGAAACCAAGGTACTGGGGGTTATGGAGTCATTTCCATGCCTGCCATTCTCTTAATCTTCTTGCAGTCATTGAATTGAAAAATATCTAGGAATGTATTGGGAAATGAACAGTGATGTTACTAAAGACCTGCACCAGCTACACAGACATTCCATGAAATATCTGTTAATTTTATCATAATCAAAACTGCTGCTAGAGCAATGCCTTCCTTCTGCTAGTAAAGTCTTCTGTCATAAACAGGTGTCCTTATGGCTTTGTCCAAAAGGAACAGAAAGGTTATTAATGGAAGTTTAGTTTCCAACAAGTCACTCTTGCTTTCGATTCTTTTCACTAAAATTTAGTATTATTTCCAGCTTTGACTGTTTATAAAAACCTGGACCCATTTTTCTTTCCTGTGGAACAAATGCTTCCTTATGTTATATGTCACTGTACCAATATCTTTACAGCAACTGAGATTAAAGAGAAACCAAAACCTAGATAATCAACCCAAATTTGGTTCGTGATGGTAGCAAGGAGAAGATGTTACAATTATGTCTTTCCAGAATGTAGATGTCTTTGTCTTTTGATTCACAAATCAAAAAAGACAAAGGTTTTTGGCAAATTTCAGAGATGTCAAGAGCTAAACAAATATTTTATCAGTAAGACTCCACAGTGTTTGTGATCTATCAAAACCAAGCTTCAAAAACACCACCACAATAACAGGCATAGGCAAACACTACTGGTTTTCACTATTTCCTGCTTGCTTAAGAAACTTTGCTATGGCTGTTCTCTTCAGTATCAAAGAAATCCATTCATTTAAAAACAAAGCCAAAACAACATATGCTTGTACCTCAAATAAGAGAAAGCATAATAAAGCAAGAGAGATAAATTTGTATTTATATCTTGCCAGACCCACGTCATGCTGAACCTTAAAAACTTAAATCAGGTTTTATTTCCAAGAAAGATTACTCTACAGTCACTTCAGCACTTGTTAATCAAAAATTAGGAGAAAAGAACTTCACATATGAAGAGAGGAAAAAAAATCCATACCTCTAGGATTAACCTAGTATAAGTAAGAATTTTACATGTAGTTACTGAAGTTAAAGAAACCTTAACTTTCTTATATACAGCACTACTTTAAAAACTGGTTCTATCACCACCAGTATCTGACAAAAAAGTGCATATGACTTTGCAGTGTTAGACAAGACCAGACCATAATGAGATGGATACTTAAAACTAGAGTATCAAAGCTCATGCTTTAGGTCCAAATTCCTGTATAATTCCCAGAAGTGAACTGTTGTCCCAGCATCATTCAAAAGTAGCAAAACTGAGGATTTTAAATTATCAGAAGTTCTCAGCCAGTGGGGCTAGACGGGGTTTCTAATGAAATCTTAAAAACTGTGACATTTAATTGTTTCAATACGGATTTAGAATTTCCTGAGTCTCGGACATGGCCAGGATGATGCTTTTCTCACAAAATCCTGTCCCACTTCTCTGACAGAAGGAAGAAGAAAAAAAGAAAAGGAAAAAAAAAATAAAGGAGGAGAAACCACTTGTCTACCTTGGCCTATCACAAAGTATTTCCAGCCTACATTCTCTCTCTATTGACTCCTTCAAAGATAAACATAGACTCTATTTGGCTTGTCATCTAAAATAATCTCATTTATTACTTGGAAGGAGTATTCACACATATAAACTTTCACATATCATCTTTCAAACATTATCTGCTGCAGTGTTGTGACTTGGGAGGTGGAAAAGAAAAAAGAGAGAAGAGAGTAGGAAACAAGATCACACTATTCTGCTGTAGACTGAGGGGAGAAACACCTCTTAGACCTGTAAGTCCTGCTACAACACAGAAAAATCAAAACAACCTTGTCTTGCCTTTAATATATTTTACAAGTGCCTTCCAAACTTTTCTTCAGCTCCGCCAGTTCTGACAAAGCCTTACACGACTGGAAGGAGCAGGGAGGGAAGGCGGCGTTCGCCTCACGAGGAGCGGTCCCAGTCTGGGCAGGGTCTGAGCATTGTTTTTAGGCTGGATCTGAGCACTGGTCCCAGTCTGGGCAGGGTCTGAGCATTGTTTTTGGCTGGATCTGAGCACTGGTCCCAGTCTGGGCAGGGTCTGAGCATTGTTTTTAGGCTGGATCTGAGCACTGGTCCCAGTCTGGGCAGGGTCTGAGCATTGTTTTTAGGCTGGATCTGAGCACTGGTCCCAGTCTGGGCAGGGACCTCTTCGGGCACAGGAACACAACTCCCGCTCCAGCCCAGCGGCCTTTCTACGTACAAAGCTGCAACCAAGGCAGCCTCTCAGGGCTATTTTGATTAAAGCCGTGAGGCACTCGGTCTTTTCACCGAGGTGCGAGCGAGGAGCCCCCAGGGCTCTGACCCCACCTCTCGGGGAGGGAGCCACGCCGCAGGCCGGCTGCCCGGCCGGGCACAGCCCCGCGCGGGGCAGGCGCCACATCGCCCTCGGCAGCTCCCGCCCGCAGGAGGAGCAGCTCCCCCGCACTCACCGGCCCGGCGCGTCCTCGGCGCTCCCTCGGCAACTGCCGGCGGGAACAACGGCGGCCGCGGTGCGGGCCCAGCGCCCGCTGCCCCCCCGGGAGCCGCGGTTCGGGCTCGGCCCCCCCGGGAGCCGCGGTTCGGGCTCGGCCCCCGCCTCACGCTCGGTTCGAGTTCGGGCTCGGCCCCCGCCTCACGCTCGGTTCGGGTTCGGGTTTGGGCTCGGCCCCCGCCTCACGCTCGGTTCGGGTTTGGGCTCAGCCCCCGCCTCACGCTCGGTTCGGGTTCAGGTTCGGTTTCAGGTTCGGGCTCGGCCCCCGCCTCACGCTCGGTTCGGGTTCAGGTTCGGCCCCCGCCTCACGCTCGGTTCAGGTTCGGGTTCAGCCCCCGCCTCACGCTCGGTTCAGGTTCGGGTTCAGGTTCAGCCCCCGCCTCACGCTCGGTTCGGGTTCAGGTTCAGCCCCCGCCTCACGCTCGGTTCGGGTTCAGGTTCGGGCTCGGCCCCCGCCTCACGCTCGGTTCGGGTTCGGGTTC